CCTCCTCTCGTTTTTAGGAGACCTTCAAGACCTGGCAGGGGAAGGCTCCCAGAGCCTGCTGCTGCCTGCAGTGTGGTGGGTTTTTATCTGCATGCTAGAAAAAAAAAGGGGGACTTGTTTTTTAAATGGGGAAAAAAAATAAGTGCTTATCCAAGTTCCAGCCCTTTGAATGCATCATGTGAACTGTCCAAGGAAGGTCCCTAATTAATTGGCATCATTCTCCCACTTCCCAGGAATGGCCCCTGCTCCCCGGCGCTTTCCTCTTGTCTTACACGAGTGCGAGGCCGGTAGCCGGGGGGTTTCTCTGCCTTCCTAAGAGCAAACCCAAGTATTTTCTGAGCATGCACCCCTGGGTTAGGCTGAGGACCTGCTTTGGGTCTCTGCCCACGGCTCGGCTCTTTGGTGCTTTGGCGGAGAGGGTCAGTCTCGGCTCTGGCAGCGGCACGGCTCCGCCAGCCCAACCCATTGCATAGCTTACACCTCCGAGGGCCTGGGAGCCTCTTCTGGCCGTGATTTTAGTGTCTGGCATTAAAACAGTGCAGACAATCGCCTCGCCTTGGAGCTGAGGCTCCTCTTACCTTGTGCTTGCTTTGCAATATGGCTTTTACTTTGGCAGCCGCGTAACCCACAGGGCTAAACGCTGGTGTCTAACACACACGGATAGAAACTTTTGCATGTAAAAACATTCAGACAGAGAAGCTGCTCCGACTCTCTCAGAAGCAGCTTGCTCAGGCTGGGGGTCACACAGGCGTCGGCGCTACTGTGCCCGTACATAAAGGGCGCCCGGTGTGGTCCCCTCGGCGGGAATATTGCAGTCGCGGCGCGAGCGGGCTATTGCCAAAGCGCCCAGGGGCATGCCCGATCCCGGAGAACACTGGTCGGTAACGAGGCACTCGCATCACTTACTGATCTGTCTATACATATATACATTCAATAATATAGCTTTGAAAAATAGACATTTGTTTCCTCTGTATATTATAAAATAGCATTTAGGATCAGTCTTAAGTGACATGCAGGAGTGATTAAAGTATGGCTGCAATTCAGGCTGCTGAAGAGCAAGGATTGCCTTTCACCTCGAGACCCCAGCGCCACTGCGGGAAGCTTTGAGCCTCCTCGGGGGGACGGGTCGGGCTCGGCATCGCCCTCCGCCCGGGGTGAGCCAGAGCCCCCGGCCGCGCTGTCCGTCCCCACTAGTGCATGTGGCGATTCCTGCAGCGTCGCCTCCTCGCAGACGCCCCGAGCAGCTCC